CGAGGAAGAGCAACATATTGTATACGTTCTTTGAGTTCATTGTAGACGACACACTTTGTGAATGTGTTCAAGTGTTCTAGTGAAACATGATAAAAATGTTTTTGCCATAATTTCTAAAAGCTGGTCTCAAACACGACTTCGAGGTCGATAGCCACAAAGTCTGATTTGATGGACTCATAAATTGAACGCTTCGTAAAAACAACTGACAGTCGAAGTTTCGGTCTGTAAACCCCATCTTGACGAGCCACCTCATTCGACATGCTATCCGCATGACAGTCTATGAATGTTTTCGTGCCGGCAAGTATGATGAATGACTTATCTTTTGAATGTTATCTACCCGTAAGCCCTTGCTCGCGACACACAAAGTCATTATCCAACTGTTTTTTGTAGCTATAAAACGTATTATGAGAGGCACCGAGAACATTGCAGTAGGCCTTGACGCACATGTGACGTTCCAACTCTACAGCGAGACACGTTTCCGTCCACCTTCATTACGCGTGAAGTCTTTAAGACTTTTCATCCACCATTCTGCTCACTCTTCAGGACTCTTACTGTACAATCCTTATCTAACCTTTCATACTTCCTCCGGTGACACGTTGTAATAACAGCGAGCCTTGCAACATGTCATGCCACGTACCATGAACAATTTTTTTTTGGACAACATGTCTTTTGCTTTTTTGTACTGCTCTATCTTTCTTGTATTCCTATTAACCATGCTATACGGTCTTCTCCCCCCTAGAAGATGTGCAAACAAAATTTGTCATATTGCCATTTTTTCTTTATCGCTCCTGCCAGATGCTTCTGACCCGGACTGACTCTGAACAACAATCGCATCATGAGATCGCACTTGGGTTGAACTCGCCCATGTCGTAGACAGTTCCTCCGAAGAATAGTCTTTGGCAACCAACTTTGTACCACTGTTGCTAGCTTGCTGTAACGACGCACTGGAAGAGGATTGTTGTCCAGACGGGTAAATCGGTGGCCACCAACTTCTCACTCTGGGCATCAGAGGTTGTCAAAGAAGCAGCCATCGGGATGCAACAGTTTTCCACCAAACTTGCAGGGTGCACTTTGCCAGAAACGTGGAAATTGTGTGGGAGGCAGACGACTCTTTGCCTGTGGACGGTGTCGCTAAACCCCGAGGGAAATGGATGGAACTCCCTAAACTCTCACGAAAAGCGAGACTTCGTTTTTTGGGGACCGCAGCATTGGATTGTTGGAATTGCGAACTGTCCGAAAAGCTCGTTGGGGCCAACTGTAGGTCTTGTTGGTGAAAATGCAAGTCGATGGCCTGTTTGGTGTCCATAGCCTGGTTCATGCGACCGTTCGTTGAACCGTCCTTTCCGCCGTCATGTAGCCGTCGGAGTTGCGGACGGGGTAGCCGTTAGGAAAATCGATCGAACTCTGCAATGCGGAGTGAACAGGGAATTCGATTTCATCTCTACTAGCTGCAAAACAACGGAGCAAAGTGTAAGAACGATATTAAGAACATGTGTCTATGACCCATCCCCCCCCCCCCCTCAAACCCCTGATGTGACATTTCAAAATGGCGAGCCCGTGTGCTTGCAATGCTAGCCCCTGCAGCTAATTAGCCGAAAAGGAAGGTGTGAATTTGCAGGCGGGTGACACTAACGATCCAGAAAACCACGACATGTGAAGTGCGCCGACATTTGAACTTGCTAGAGATCGGAATCCTTCGACGACATTGATTGTATGTCCCGAAGGGCATCCAAATATTTCTTGCCTCAAACTCTGGCGACAAGAATTGCATTGATAGAAAAGGGAGATGCCCTTTTACCTTTAGTTTTTTATACTTTTTTTAGTTGGACGTTAAAGTCATCAGCAAGTGTCAAAGTCAACCCCCTTGACCTATTTACAGGCCTCCAATGATGGAACCGAGCTGCTACAAAACTGTGTAACTCTTCGTACGACGTAACGGGGGTTTATCGTACGGTCATACGTACGGCCGTATGCACAGCCCTGTACGAAAAAAAAATTTAAATCGTTTTGTTTTCTTGTATCTCAAATTTGGTAACGAATTTCAATATGACCCTGAGGCAAAAGTGTTTCAGTTTATTTTTTTGCATAACATATTTGTTTTTCAGATTTTTTTTTATTTTTTTTTTTATTTTTTTCGTACGTACGGTCCAAACTACCACATGAGCCCGTACGTACGGCCTGTATTCGTACGAGGGTCTCCATAGCTACACAAGGCCTTCGCCCGCCTACCACTCATCCACACTGGTTGCTGACGAGGGTAGGTCCCTCAACCGCCTTGGCAGTTGTCTAGCATCGAGAGGTTAGTCCCTCAAGGCGCGTGTCAGCCGACACTTGAGTGTCGAACGGGACCCTCAATATACCATCGAGGTCCACATGAGTATGCGTCTGTGTAACCGGTTGAACGCCGTGAATGCTCGTTCACGTTTAAACGCGCGCGTTCAACCCCACCTGCCCCGCGTTCAATCGCGTTTAAACGCGCTGCACGAGCGCGTGCGCGAAAAAATTGAACGCAGTCCCGCGGGGCGCGCGCGCGCGACTGGGGCTACGGGGTGGTGGTCTGAGTTCAACAAACCACCAAAGTGCGAAAACCGCCCCCCATTCCACCCGAT